TTGTTTTGTTTTGTTTTGTTTAAGGCAGTTCACACTGCGGCAGGAAGCATCATAAATCTCGGTGAACATCCTGATCAGCTGACAGCTACTGAGAAAGTAACTGGTTTGTGTCCATTCCTGCACTCAGTTCCCTCCCTGTTCATTTCAGCCTGTCAGCAGGACAGGTAATTGTATTAAATCTCCTAGCAACTGCGATGCTCTCCTTGTGAGTATCAAAGGAGCCTTTCTCTTAATCGATTACAAATCTGAGGTCTCCCTGGCAAGGAGAAGATTCTTAGAAGTTGGCCAGGAGCTGGATTCAAAGGGACAGTTTCCGGATACAAAAGGAAGCTTCAGGGGAGCCTTAATCAGGTCCCCAGCAGAGGACCCCACAAGTGACCCAGGGGTTCCTAGACAACAGTGGCTTGTACATCTCCCACCAGATGCTAAGTCCCTTGAGGAAGAAGACTCTGCCCCTCACATCTCACCCCAAGCCCAATTTTCATGGCTGTTCTATTGAATTCTCCTACCTAACCCTTTCCTGGGCAGAGGCTGATCTTCCTCTCCTGAGTCCCAGGCAAGGGCCAGGATGAACAGAAAGCTCACAGATTGTGGGATGCAGTGAGAGGTCAGGCAATGAGCATCTCAGCATGGCACTCATGGTAGTTTTCAGGGTCATGCAAGCCAGAAAAAAGATAAATGGAAATTTAATTAGGGTCAGTGGAAGGAGATGGGTATTGAACTTAGCAATGAATTTTTCTTTTTGAAGATGTAAATAGAACCTCAGAGTAGAGTCCTTTGGCTCTTTTGAGTCATGGAGATGGTTTTCTAATTGAAGAGTTGAGACCCACTCATCTTCCTATATAAGACATAAGGCTCTTTAAAAAAATAATAAATGCAAAAGAATGACATTACTATCTTCCATCTTGACACTTTTCTTAGGTCCCCTCCTGCCCTAGGATTTTTCAGTGGGTAAATGCAGAGGAAAAAACTTCAAACATGAAATTATTCAGTTTCAAGTCCACTTCATTTCCTGGCTCTCTGGTGAGTTGCCTGCCAAGTCAACTACTTGTCCCTTCATGCCTTAGCAGTGGCCTCGTTCAAATCTGTTCAAAGAGTCACAGACACCTAGTACCATCCACATGGAGCCCTTGTTCAGCACGGACCCCCGCTGCAGAGAGGAAGCCTGGCCTCCTAGAAAGAGCATCCATCCTAAAGTCCCAGACGTGAATCCCAGGTCCTTCCCTTGTGCAGGTGATGAGTGAAGTGGATCTTCACAACTTCCTGTGGGCATTCAATGGAAGAATACTAAATAAAGCACCGAACAAAGCTCCTGATGTGCTCTAATAGGTGCTCAGTAGAAGGGCCTCCACTCCCCTTTGCCCTGAAGCTCAGTGGACTTCTCATCCTTCTCTCTCCATCCGCATGGATAAGGAGAGGGGATAGGGCCAGGGGTTCTCTACTCCTCCTACCCTGAGGCCAGGCTCTTGTGCCGTGCCTTCTAAAGAAGGAGTCAGTGCTGATAGAAGACTGGCCCTTTCCATCTCGGGGAGTCTGCATGCTGGGCCTTAATTCCACTCAGTAAACAAGTGTTGAGCACAAACCGGCTGTTGACCCTATGCTAGGGACTGAGGATGAAGCAATGAATAAGAGTGGACCCTTCCTCCTACGTGGATACATCAAAACGTCTTTCAACACATCTATTTTCCTAAGAAATTGTTGTCATTTCATATTTTATTATACTACTTCAGTTTATTTTTATTTTAATAAAAAAAGATTCATGTTTAATAGAAAAACATTATTGGGGTTTCTGGGTGGCTCAGTCGGTTAAGCGTTCAATGTCAGCTCAGGTCAGGCTCTCACAGTTCGTGAGTTCAAGCCCTGCATCAAGCTCTGGGCTGACAGCTCAGAGCCTGCTTGGATCCTCTCTCTCCCTCTCTTTCTGCCCCTCGCCCACACACACTCTCTCTCTCTCTCAAAAATAAACATTAAAATTTTTAAAAATAATAAATAAATAATGTAGTAATTTTGTAAAAAAAGAAAAACATTATTTTTCCCCTCTTTTAATCCATAAACCTCAATAACAGTTAGGACTAAATTAATTTCTTTTTTAGAAAATTTTTAAAGTTTTTATTTATTTTGAGAGAGACAGAGAGGGGGAGTTGGGGAGGGGCAGAGAGTGAGGGAGAGAGAGAGAATCCCAAGCAGGCTCTGAGCTGCAGGATAGAGTCCCATGCGGTGCTTGAACTCACTAATGGGGAGATCATGACCTGAGCCGAAACCAAGAGTCTGACACTCAATCAACGGAGCCACCCAGGTGCCCCAAGTCAAACTTAATTTCTAATAATATAAACAGGAAGTGTCTGTCTTTTCAAAGTTACTAAATAAATAAAGCCAGCCATGTTTTCATTGAAATATTTGACAAAACACTTTTTAAGTCCTAGAGAAGAATTCATTCTCTAATTAAAACCCATTTAATGTAATTAAGTGGACTCTCTAAGGACCTCCTTTAATAGAGAAAGCTTTGTTAATCCGAGATGAGCTACAATATGAATTTAGAGGAAATAAAGTGCATTTTGGGAGAGAAAAACACATGTGCACTAAGTGGAAACATAGCCACCCTGGCTCCCCAGTTGACTCCACACCATTTGACAGGTAGCTGTCTTCTCCAGTTAGGAACCAAAACCCAAATTCCCTCCGCTGATGGCTGGTGATATTTTTCCTTTGGGAAGGCAGCTTTGCTGCCCCGCTCTCCCTTGCCACCAAGTCAAACTGGCCTTGATGTTCTGACACTTCTTCTCTTGGCCAACAGCTTCCCATTGGAGAGTGAGACCATTCTGGTCAACTGGGTTTGTTCATGGCAGCAGAGGGAGCTCGATGCAGAATGGAGGGTGGCGTTGTCTGCCCTTCCAGGCGAGAAGACACAGACACGGTCTCTCCTGGACCCCCCGGAAGTACGGCCGACACAACAGTGGATCCTGACCTAGGTGATGGGGCCCCTGGGTAACGCTTCTCAGAAGCTCAGGTATGTGTGTTATATAGGCATGTATCTGTGCACCTACAGCCATCAATACGTCTCTGTATTTTCAAAGGAGAAGCTTGAATTGAGGTCAATGAAGACTTCCCTAGAGCCTAGAGGTTTCTAAGGAACTTGTCTTAATTAATAGATCGAAGTAGTTTGTATTTAACACATCAAATAGACAGATGAGAGGCCATTAGACAGATGATAGGTAGCCAGACAGATGAGAGATTGATTGATTTAGAAGTCAGATAGACCTAGGTTTAAACCAATGACTGTCACAAAGAATCTTGATACGGTACAAAGTTTCCCTAACCCTACATTTCCGTCTGTAAAATGGGCTCAGTTACCTCTCCAGGTGGTATTGAGGCATAAATGAAACTGGGTGTAAAGTGCTTAGTGAAGTGACAGACAAAAAGTAAGCCTCAATAAACAGGATTCATTACCACTGTTATTCTGATTGAAGAACAGTTCAATAAGGGGGCATCTTCGTGAGTTCAGGGTTTCAGAACTGTAAGGAGACAGACTGGGTTAATGGGAAGGCTCTGATACACATACCAGTAAATGGATACTTTCTGCAACAATGCACAGCTTAAGCGGGGCCAGTCACCCAGTGGTCAGATGTTTCCCCAGTCGCCAAGGGTGAGACAGTTTTGCCAGGGAACCCAGCTTGATTTCCTGGTTCAAAAATCACACCTGTGAAACTCAATCCAGGTGGGAAATTCTTCTGGTTGACTCTGCTAAAGCCATAGTTCATCATCAAGTTATTTCTCCGGGTCACTCTGAGGTCATCTCTTGATTAATAACAGCCGGCAATTGGGGGGTGGGGGAGCACAAAATTTAGCCGCCTGGCCTTTGCCTAAAAGTCCATCATAAGCACCTCTCTTTTGTTGAACATTTTCTGGGTACCAGGCACCGTGCACATAGCCTCCCGCACATCAGTTTATTTGATCCTCTAATGATCGTCCAGGGGGGCAGCTACAGTGATCCCCATTTAAAGATGAAGAATTTCAGGCTTGCAAAGTCCAGTTATCTGTGCAAGATCACAGCTAGTCAGTGGTGGAGCCAGCATTAGAGGTAAGTCCCAGAGCTCTTCCCACCAGGCTTTGCTGCACAGAAAACCATTAATCCCCCTTTTCTCTCCCACGTCACGTGTGTTTATACTGCATAGGAGAACAAAAGATGGTTTAAAACTCTCGTTTTTCTCACCTGCTGAAAAGCAGTCCGGCCTATTCTTACTCATCAGGCTGTACCTGGCTCTGGGCTCTTCAGGCCATCCCTCCAATCCTCTTCATAGGGCATCTCCTTACCCTCATCCCTGCTCAGGATTCTGTCTGGCCTTTCAGAAAACAACTGGCAACAATTTAGCAACTAGTTTAAATGTCTTTCTTTGGCTAAGAAGCCCCTTTGCAGGGGCACCTGGATGGAGCAAAGCAAGAGTGCCACCTGGTGGAATATTTGGGTCACTGCCAACAATATTCTTTGGGCAAAAGTAGGCTGAAGGTACGTGGGGACGGAACAGTGTTCACAGTGGCTGGGAACCACTCCTAGACAACTACAAGAAACAACGCACCAGTGTCTAGGCACTAACTTCATGAAGCTCAAAGTCTTACTCAAATATAAGTTTGGGACTTTAAAGGGATGCATTTCTCCGCTCCAGAGCCTGGGCTGGGATTAAGGTGAGGTAGGAGGTATCCCATCCCAGCAAGGGCAGGACTGCATCTCTTTACTTAAAATTGTGAAATCCTTGGGGCGCCTGGATGGCTCAGTTTGTTGTCTGACTTCACCTCGGGTCGTGATCTCATGGTTCATGAGTTCGAGCTCTGCGTCTGGCTCTGTGCTGACAGCTCAGAGCCTAAAGCCTACTCTGGATTCCGTGTCTCCCTCTCTCTCTGCCCCACTCCTGCTCATTCTCTCTCTCTCAAAAATAAATAAGCATTAAAATAATCTGAAAAACTAAAAAAATTTTTTTTTTGAAATTCTTTTCATTGTGAATGTTTGCATTAATTTTGACTTTTTAAAAGTGCATTAAAATATTAGTTATCTTAATTACTGGGTTTTGGGCACTCTCCCCCCTGACATCATATACCCAAGGAAAACTCCTCTTGCTTCAGCCTAGTATGCGGCTGCTGGGGACCTCTGACAAAGGACTCTGTTTCCTGTCAAAGTTCTGTCTGCACATGAGCTATGCACAGCTCCCATGGCCTCCTTGCACATCTGCCTTCGCTCCATCCCATCTGAGAATGGCCTCGGCATCACCGCCATTCCTTGGACCCGATTCACCAACTTAAGTCAAAAGCAAGTACTCAAACCAGGACGCACTTCAGTGTAAGTGCTGAAGAACCTGACAAAACACATTTGCCTATCACTGGCCTCCACAGGTCACAGCTTGTGAGCAGGGCCTCCCTGCTTTTGCCAGGTCCCAGACCACTGGGCAGAGTGCACTTGTCTACACTGCATGCCCTCCCTACGCCAGCAGCAGCCAGCGAGGATCTACCTTGGGATGTTGCCTTCTGAAGAAGGTCCAAGGCGAGTGCCAGCATCAAGCCAGATCACCACATAACCCAGTGTCTACAATGGGTCACGCCAGTCCCCTGATCCTCTCCTCGAGGCGAGGAGGGAAGATCTTTGCCTAGAACGTATGAGTGGGTTGGGAGGGGGGGATGATTCTGGAAGCCCCTGAAAATCCACGCGAAACAATGTGCATTTTCTGGGCAGATGATTTATCACTTTCTTTCCATTCTCCAAGGAGCCCTTGACCCCACAGAAAGTGAGAATCACAGCAGCTCCATAAAGTCTCCAGGCTCTATCAAGGGTCTAAGTGAGAAATAGCAACAAGAAGTATCTTTCCATGCATCCCTTGGTAACAAGCACCAGCTTGATAAAGGCCCGCATGTTTTTCAAAATTCAGAAGAACGAAAAGTTCCTCTCACGTGATACACTGGACTCTCAGCTGGATACTGAGACCCAGAGAGGCCCCCTGCCTTCTCTGCCTTCCCCTCCCTGACATCCCTTTCCGCCTTATTGTTCTCCGGCAAAGTTCTTTTGCAAGATCTAGGCTTCCCTCCGGAACAGTCTTCCACTCTTTTGGCATCCTTTACTCATCCTTCCTGTTGAGCTTTCTCGACATTTCCAAGCAGGGCTGGGCACCTTCCACACTACCGTTACCACGCAGTTGACTTTTCTAGATTTATTTACGTATTTGTCTATCCTGCCCATGATAGATTGTGATCCCATGAGGGCAGGAGCCCAATGTATTCACTTCCGCATCCCCAGCACCTAGCACAGAATCAATGTGTGGGAGGGAGAAAAGAAAGTTACATGGATAAATAAACAGATCAGTGAATGAATGAACCTTCCCCCCCCCCCCCCCCCCGCCCACCGCACCCCTGCACACGCACACCTCCATGCCTTCATTTCCCAGATGAGGAGTGTGGGCACCGAGGGACATTGGCATGGCAGTGGGACCGAGCCCCGCAGGGCTTCCCCTCACCCCCACTCCACAGGAGCCGCACCCACGCCAGCCGCAGCTGGGTGCCGAGATCACGCAGCACCCAGAGCCCTGCAGCGACCACCGCTGCAGCACACCTTGCCTGGTCTTTTCGCGGCTCCCGGGCTCCGCGCACACAGTAGGCAGATGCTGACGGAGGGAAGTCAGAGGCAAGAAATTGGCCGCTGGCAGATGCCAGCTGCCCCCCCCGACGGGATCTGGGACACCAGAATCTTCTCCGTGACTGTCGTTACCACTGTGAGGACCGCAACGAGAAAGCCTTTGACTCTCTCAAACTGACTCCAACGGCAGGCTCAGGGGAGCTGAATTTCATGCCCAGGAATGCGTTGCCCGTGAACCTGAAACAGCTAGTTTTACTTTTGCTTCCTCCCCCCGGAATTAGATTCATGAGAAGTCTGATAAAATCTCCGGATGGGCGGCTCCGGGCTCTGCTGGCCCCAAACACATGGCAGAAGCTGGAAAGAGCTGAGGACGGTGGCTACCCGGCCAGCATAGTTCCTGCTCTCCAGGGAGGGGGGAAGCCTCTGAGGAAATTCGTGGGCCCCAGCATAGCTGTGGTCCTTACTGGATCATTAGATCTGCCACAAGCAAGATAAAAATTTCAAACAGCAAAGGCCTTTTCCGTGGTCTGCTGAACGGGGTTTCTCGTTGTGTTTTGGTTCCTTCTTGTTTCCTCACACCCTGACTGCCTTTGCTGTAATGCGGCGGGAGCCCCTGCCTCTGCGGCTGGTCCCCCAGCAGATCCAGAAGGGGGGCAAGGGATTGGGTTTGTTTTGTTTTTAAATGTAGGTAAATTCAGAAAAGATTCAGGGTTCTGAGTCCTTGTTGTGTGAGCAGTGGTCCGACCTTCGCTTGCCCACTTCTCAGAATCAGAGGTCTCCTTTCCGAAAAACACAAAAGCCCAAACAAGAAAAGAGAAGGCTATCCCAAATTCATAGCAAGGGAAAGGGAAGTCTTCTTGCTGTGTGTCCTCAAATGTACACACTATTCAAAGGCTGTACCTCCTCCAGATGTCGGGTAGGAATAAGCCACTTGTCCCTGACCCCACAGTTTTCTATTCTGTGTGTGTCTTAATCTGTCGCCCTAGACTTCAGACTTCTTTCTGTTCCCTTTCATACCCACATGTGTAATAAATATTATTGGCTGATCGAAAGCCAAATTAAAGCCAAGAACATTTTTATAAAACATGAATCACTTAGGAAGTGTTACGACAGGCCAGGCCCTTTATATCATATTTTAATCCTCACTGCAATCCTGTAGGGTGGGTGTTTTTCTGGTTTTACAGATGAGAAAACTGAGGCTGGGAAGGATTCCTGGAGTGCAGAGTGCTTCTCAGCGGTGGGGGCTGAATTCCAGGACAGTCTCACTGGCAAAGCTATGCTGCTCACCTCTTTAGACTTCCTGGCATTTCGGCAGATGACCCAGCAAAGCTTTTCACATACTGGGCACAGTAGCCAAGACCTAAGGGATCAGCTGCTGCGTAAAACACAGCAGGGCTCAGAGCAGAGAAAGGTTCTCTAGCCTCCAAGTGGTTCATGCTCTTGTGGGCAGAGTGGCAGGGTCTGCCCAGGCCAACCCCTCATTCCCCAAATCCCACCCTTGCCTCCTAACCGTGGCCAGCTCTTCTCTCCCATCCACCCTGGGTGAGTATCGGGCCAAAATGTCCTTTGTCTCCTCCCCTAACTGACCCTGAGCCCGAGTGTGGCACAGTATGGTGGTTCTGAGTATGTGTGTGACTGCTGGCATTTGCCCCAGTCATGCTCATAGCAATATCCCTGAATCGATTCCAATACTCTGCTATAGAAGACAGATCAGACCTCAGAATCATTCTCAATACAGCATTCTAGGCAGATGCTACCAATCAATCAGCCTTGTTCTGAGATTAAGCCTTTTTGTCATTATTGGCATAGCAAGTGATCAGTGGAATTTAATTTCCATTCCCTTCTATCCTTCCTGCCTGCCTTCCTCAATGTTTCTGGGATGGGTAGAGGGAGGGATGGATGGACAGATGGATGGATGGACAGATGGATGGATGAAGGGATGGATGGAAGGAGGGAGGGAGGGATGGAGGGGTGGGGAAATGGAGGAAGGATAGAGGAAGGGAGGGAAAGAGGGGTAGATGGATGGATGGATGGATGGATGGATGGAGAGATGGATGGACAGAAGGATGGATGGAGGGAGGGATGGGGGATGGAGGGATGCAGAGATGGAAGGAAAGATAGAGGAAGGGAGGAAGGGACGGAAAGAGGGAGGGAGGGAGGGAGGGATGGACGGACGGACGGATGGATAAATGGATGGATGGAAATTAAGTTCTCACCTTACAGAGGAGTGCTGGTTGGCACCACTCCTAATTCTGCTGACTTCACTCCATGCCAGTGCTTCCTTGACAAAACTTGCTCTTAGCATGTGGCATTCGTTATAGGAACTGGTGAGACTCCTGGGTCATTCTGAGGCCATGGAGGATCCTCAGCGTCAGCACTTTGTTTCTCACTCAGTCTCATTTCCTCCCCCTCTAACATATGCCTGAGCTTAAAAACATCCACTCACCCCATACTTCCTTCTTCTTTTTAAAGCTCAAGCTGACAAGAGAAATTTCTTCTCCCACTCACCACTTTTTTTCTAGACAGATAAGAAAAAAACAATTCTACTGTGCGGTGCATAGGAATGGCCAATGATTAAAAACTCTTCTGTGTTTTGGGAGCCATCACCGCCTTTAACCTATATGTTGCCTAGAGGTTCTGAATCATCCTATGATTTAGTTATGGATGGGGAAGCATGTTTTTCCGGGGCCTTTTAAGAAGCTTTGGCTTTTGGTTTTGAACCAATCAAGTTATGGTGATATTGGAATATTCTTTCCCTAGCAAAATACCATGTAGTGTTCAAGAGGAAGAAAACGTTAAGAGATTTTTATTCAAGTCACTTTGAAGAGGAATAAAATAGCTCTTATAAAGCAATATGTTTGAGATTTAAGTACAAGTAAATCAGAAGCATATGGATTGTGTGTGTTAAAACACGCTTTTGTTTCCCCGGGAAGGAAAAAAATACTTGGGAAAAATATATTTCATAAAATGGCATATATTAGAAAATAGCTGGAGATTTTTAAGAAAGCCAAAATGTAGCAGGAATGGTCCAGCTCTAGTTATTAATATCCTGGAACCAGCTGGGAAGTAAAATTAGGTGGTGAAATTATTGTACCATTCTTATTCCAAGCTGAAAATGACATATTTCTCATATCTTTTTTAAAAATTTTTTTACGTTTTTATTTTATTTTCAAGAGAGGACAGAGTGCAAGGAGGGGAGGGCAGAGATAGAGGGAGACACAGAATCTGAAGCAGGCTCCAGGCTCTGAGCTGTCAGCACAGAGCCCGATGACCTGAGCTGTAGTCGGATGCTTAACCGACTAAGCCACCTAGGTCCCCTCATGTTTCTCATATCTTTCCAACAAAAGAAAAATGAAATACTGAGATCTAGGAGATGAGGCTTTGTGAGTTTTTTCCTTTTTTTGATATTAGTCCTGATAATAATTCTTATCACTGGACTCATAGACTAGGTAAGAGTGTGGAGACAGTGGGGCGCCTGCGTGGCTCAGTAGGTTAAGCATCTGACTCTCGGTTTCGGCTCAGGTCATGATCTCGCGGTTTTGTGGGTTCAAGCTCCACCTAGGGCTGTGCACTGACAATGCAGAGCCTGCTTGAGAGTCTTCTCTCTCCCTATCTCTCTGCCCCTCCCCTGCTCATGCTGTCTCTGTCTCTTTCAAAATAAATAAACTTAAAAAAAAAAAAAGTATGGAGGTGGGGACGAGGTCCCAGAGTCAGACTGTTGGCTCCAATCACAGCTCTGCTCCATTAGCCGTGGGATCACCACAATCCACTCACCTCTTTCTGTGTCCTTGTTTTCTCATCTGGAAAGTGAGAGGAAGACAACGACGATGATGATAATGCATTACTGCACTTACTATGTGGGTAAAGCACTTGGAATAAATGTCTGATGCACAGGAAGTAAATGTTGGCTCATTTTGTTTGTAATCTTGCCTAGAATGCTCTGCCACTAGATAACTCTATGGTTCAGTCATGCACTTCGGAACCTGACAAACCTCTAGGTAGACTGAGAAAAAAAAGGAATAAAATGAAATGACAACCAACTTTAAAGAAATGACAACTATGAGGAGGTAATACGATGAACAACTGTACCCTGGCTAATATAGATAATCTACATGAAATAGCAAATTCTTAGAAACACCTAACCTACCTAAACTGACTCAAGAAGAAATAGAAACCACAACCCAGACCTATAACAAGTAAAGAGGGTGAATCAGTAATCAAAACCTCCCATTGGAAAAAAAGTTCAGGACCAGATGTCTTCACAGGTGAATTCTACTAAATATTTAAAGAAAAACTAATACCAATCTTTCTCAACCTCCTCCAAAACATAGTAGAGGGGGAACACTTCCTAATTCATTGTACGAAGACAGTGTTCTTCTGATACCATAATTAGCCAGTTCTTTCAGGACTCTGTCCTCTCCAGCCCTTCTATAGAACTATAGTATCACCTCCCCCCACACATATATGCATTCCCTCATCTCAACATATTTTTCATCATAGCACTTATCACCCCCTGATATATTATATACCTATTTTCTCATTTATTGATTGATTCTCTTCTTTCACTAGAATGTGGGAGCTCCATCAGAGCATGGAATATTATTTTTCCATGGAATAACTTCTTAGGCATGAATTTTCTATCGCCTAACAGGGGCCTATCGAAATGTATTAAATAAATATATTGTCTGGTCATTTTTTTTACTGAAAGAAAATGAGGAGAAATTTAGAGAGGACCTGGGTATTGCAGAACTCCAAGATCTAGCTGACTAGAAGAAAATGAGCCTTCAGAAGCAGATAACCAAGAAAGTGTTAGGTCAGGAAAACAAAGGGAAATGAGAGTTCTGAAAAGCAGAGACCAGTCAGCAGTGTCAATAATGCTGAGAAATCAAGTACAATAAGAACCAAAATGTCTACTGGACTGAGCTGCAGACCATTGGCCACCTTTGTGAGAATCATTTGGGGGACATCATGAGGCTAGAAGCCAGAAGCCAGGCTACTTTGAGGGGCAGATGAAGGAAGCAGCCCATTCTGAAAACATTTTAAAGAAGTTTTTTTTATTAAAAAAAAAAAAAAAAACATAAGGAAGTTGCTAGAAAGGGCAAGTGTCAAGTGAAGATATTGTTTTTAAGTGGGAAAGATCTGTAAATGTTTCAAAGCACATGGAAGGAACCCAGTTGAGGAGAAAAGACACTGAAAATACGGGAGGAAGCAAGGTTCCTAGAAGGAAAGGTATGGGAGGCAGACCATAGGACTGGCTTTAGCAAGGACCAGCCTCTCCTACACCCTCAGACTGCAGGAAAACAAGACCCAGAGAGTCCATTTGACTTACCCACCAGCCCAAACAGGACCCAGGTCTCCAGTGTTCGTTTGACTAGGCAGTAATTTTCTCTTGCTCAAATTAGAATGTTCAATGAGAAGTGAGGAGGAGAGAGGGTTAGAAATCAAAGCTGGTAGATAAAAAAAAAAAACGCCCACTACAATAGGTTTTGTCATTGAAGACTTTCTTAGGGAGGGCACCTCTTCCTACTCACGAGCTCTTTTCCCTGTGGTGTGAACCCCATTAGCAGAGTGTCTCCCTAAAGTCCTTCCTCACCCCTCCCCAGGACAGCAGAGGGATGTGCCTAATTGAGGAATCTGTGATAAGAAACCCAGCATGCACAGCCCAGCCCCTTCCTGTCTCTTCTTCCTTTTAGGAACTAGCAGAGAAAACATCTAACTCTAGATGGCTCTCAAACCCATGGCAAGCATAGCCCACGCTTACCCTGTGTGGAGGCCAGCAGTGGTCTGCCTCTGCCTCGGACCAGATTGGCTGGTGCCACCAGTACGCGGGCTCAGGATTAGGAAGTCCATTTGCCCACAGATACACTCCACTTTCTCCAATGTCAGCTTTATCAATAGGAAAGATGTTATTTTGGTGTCTCTCTACCCCTCTTCTTTGTCTTTTGTTTTTGTTTTTTTTTTTCTAGTGGGCTCAGAAAAAAGATGAGAAAGAAGGGAGCTAATGATTTCAACAGAAATTATACTATTAAAATTGGCATGTAAAACTTTATTCTTGACATCATTCTTTTCCAGATATAAGGACCAAAAACCCTAAAATATAATATGACTATTTTCTAATATAATTTAAATAGTGAAAGTGCATTCTTTTCAGGGAAGAACACTCCCAAAGGAGAACACGAGGGCCCAATATTTTGTCCATGTGTAAAACCCGAAGGACCCGCTTTCTTAATTCAGTTGGATTGAAGTACAAAATCACAGTTGATCATTTGCTCAGCTCTTGCCAGGACTCCACTGTTTTCTGTCTGGAAACAGCCGTGGCCACATCCACAGTTTCGAACTTGAGAAAATGACCCAGAATCATCACAACGTGGGAAGAGGCTGCACGGCAATGACCATCCTGGGAGGGTGGGAGAGAAACCTGCCAAAGTACATTCTTTGCTGATGAGAAAAATGCACCGACAATTGTAAAATTAGGTGTTTGGCACCCTATTTAGCCATGGAGCCAGTTTTCAACTCACTTCTCTCCAACTTTTTCAGTGCCAAAGAGTTGCTCCTAATAATCATCTCAAAAATAGTCACTGTCACCTTCTCCAATTACTTCAGTCTCCATATTTCAAATTGAACAATATTGGCCTTGACCATACAACTTCTCTCTGCTGCTCCCAAGTTGCTATTTGGAAATTTATCAAATAAGCCTTAGGTCTATCAGTGAGGACAAAGATTAACAGCAAAATCCCTCTTGCAACTTTACTTGAAAGCTATTTTGAGAAACAAAGGGGCTGGCGATTATTTAACGACTTTAAGGCACATCAGAATCTGTGGGAGGTTTGAAGTCAAGGGTGGGAATGTGGGCCAGACTAAAGGAGCTGGTAAAGGCGAGGTTGAAGGAGACACAGCAAAACTCAGAGCAGAAGCGAATCCTGGTCCTGCAGTGAGCAGCCTCCAACTATCTTACATCCTTGCAACAGTTGTTCGAATTCAAAGCTCCCAGAGAGAGGACCTGACCACTTAGATTTATAAGAGCAGGCACTTTCCTCCACCACCTGCCCTCCAAAATGTAGCTCATGGTGGGAAGCTACCTAAAAGAAAGAAGAAGAACAATTGGAATGGTAAGATTGGGTGCTGGACAAGTGACCCCCATACTTGAGCCCCACGGGGAAGTCTGGTGAGCGTCAGTTTAGTGGTTTGATTCATCCACAATGGTTTATTGCATGGAGATCCTGAGAGCTCTCAACCATCCAATCACCATGCAAGACATAGTGATTAAGTTCTTCTGAGCAGAGATACATCGGTGAACAAAATGGAAACAGTCCCTGCCTTGATA